TTGGTACAGTGGATAGAGGACTGGACCTTGAATAAAGAAGACCTGGGTCCCAATCCTATCTGAGACACTTAGTAATTATGTGACTCCTGGGCAAATGATTTACCCTTGGTCTGCTTTATTTTCCTCATCTGTAAAATGGGGATAATAATAGCACCTACCACACAAGCTTGCTCTGAGGATTAATGAGATTTTTTTAAGTAGAGTGCTTTGTAAATCTTAAAACCCCATGTAAATGTCCACGACTGTGACAAATAGCGTGGTATCTAAGAATGTATTTCAGAGAATCACAGAACTTCAGGGTTGGAAGGAAGCTTGGAGTCCACCTCGCCCACCTGGTGCCTGTATAATGAATCTCCCAATCACGTTCCTATGTTGTTGATCAGTCATTTCAGTCGTGTCTTACCTTTTGTGGCCCCGTCGGGGGTTTTCGTGGCAGAGATACCGGAATGGTTCGCCATTTCCTTCTCCAGCTCATTTTACGGATGAGGAAACTGAGGTAGACAGGGTCAAGTGGCCTGCCTAGGGTCACACAGCTAGTCAGTTATCACACCAACATTTATCTGCTTGGTGACACCTGGTGAAGGCGAATGCATTATTTCTCGAGAGAAGCTCACCCCACTCCGAGATGAGCTCAATATTTCAGAAGCTCTTCATGATGTCATCTAGGAATCTGCCTCTTTGTAACGTCCGCACCTTCCCTCCACTCCCACAGCCCCCACCCTAATGCCTGTGTCCATGGACTCCAGCCCCCTTCCCCGGACTCTTGCATTAGCCTTCTGCCTGGGGTTCCTGCCTCCAGCATCTCTCCCTTCCCCATCCCTCTTCCAGTTAGCTGCCACGGGTATGTTTCAGCTCATGTCACAACTGCTACCCCCACTCAATAAACTGCATTGGGTCTATTATCTCTAGGAGCCAATTGAAAATCTACTTGCATTAAAAATTCTCTCCACCTGGCCCCTTCCCACTTTTCCAGTTTTCTTACATCTTACTTCTATCTCTGCATTCTATTATCCTTCTACGGTGACCTATTTGCCATTCAAAGGTGACACTCTTTTTCTCCCACCTCCCTGCCTTTGCATTGGCTGATCCCCCTTGTCTGGAATGTTGTCCCTTCTCACTTCAGCCTCTTAGTTTCTCTGGCTTCCTTCAAATCTCATCTTAAGTCCCTTGTGCAGAAGGCTCTCCCACACACTGATACTTTCCTGTCTGAGATATCTTTTTCTACTGTGTATCTATCTTATATATACATAGCTATTAATGTGTTGTCTCTGTCATTAGAATGTGAATTCCCTGTGAGCAGGAACTGTTTCAACCTTTCTTTGCGTGTCCAGGGCTTAGCGGAGTGCTTCAAACATAGTGGTGCTTAATAATGCTGGTTGACTGAGTGACTGACTAACCACCTATTGATGCCCTGTGGGGCTGGTGCTGCCCTCTGGGGACAAAGAGAATATGTTTCCCGTGTCCCTCTAGTCCTTCTAATTCCCGAAGAGAACGACTTTGTTCCTCTGAGCCTTCCTTTCTCCTTGATGAGTATCCCAGCTTTCTCCAATCCATCTCATACAGCTTGATCTTCAGCTCCTTGGGCTCTGGATGTCCCCAGCGCATCAATGTCCATCCTAAAATTTGGCACTGGAACTTTGCAAATGTGGCTTGACTGGGGTAACAGCAGCTGGTCAGTTAAGCCCAACCTCCTGATTCCTTAGACTTTGGGTCATCTTGGGTTCGATCCTTCCTCTAATTCTCACTCCTTCTGTGATATTGGGTGAGTCACTTACACTCTCCTGGCTTCAGTTTCCACCTAGAATGGACTGTGTGGCCTTTCATGTCCCCTCCCGCTACCTCTGTGATCCTATGCTCCTTTATACGATTTGGGTACTTTTTGTGTTAAGCAAAATCCATTTAAAAAGAAAAAAAAAGCAACAACACAGAGTTATCACACTTGCTACTAATTGCCTCTAAACTTCTGATCATCAGCACATCAGGTTTCAGCTGCATGATTCCCATTAAAGTTGAGTGTGGTTTTGGAAAATTTGTCCCCACAGACCTTTCTACTAAGAATTGCCGTGCTAAGCTGACCTCGGGGATCTCCAGCTCTTCTCCTTCAGGTCATGTTTTATTAGCAGTTTCTCCAGGGTTGCTGGGCTGTCGGTCCCTTGTTTGTGCCAAGAGAATAGGGAGGGACTTCCAAGTGTAGTAGTTGATAGGTGGCGTCAGATGGAGATGCGCAATGCCGCTTTGCTCATAGGTATAGGTCTGGCTGCTTCTGTTTGCTGAGGTCAGTATCATATCTGCCCCAGTGTCTAAGCACCATCCCTCCAAAGGAGCCCCAGATGCAATCGAAAGGCAGACAGTATGGAGAGCTGGGCAGGTCATGTTCATGGTCAAAGTCATGGGTTGCCTCCATAACAGGTTTTTTTGAGTTCCTTGTCCTCCAGTGAGGTAAACAGAGATTAACTGATTTTCCAAAAGTCAGCCAATTAGTAAATATCTGAGGCTGGATTTGAACTTGGTACTCCCTGACTCCAGGCTCAGCTCTCTATCCACTGTATCACCTAGATCACTTTTGTGGATCACCAGGCATGGCCACCCCACTTCTGAAAGAGGCACCTGACTGCCATACCACTCTGTCTTACCCCTGCATGTGGCTTCATTCAGTAATCTACCCATCTACCCATCCACACTGATGACACCTAAAAGAGTCAACATGACTATTCACTACTGTGGGACATACTTCTCTGAAAAGGCTGTCAGCTGCTTAATTATTTTCTTTCATATGTATGTATGTGTATATATATATATATACACACACATACATATACACAAATATATACATATATACACATATATACATACTCTACACACACACTATATAATATATATATTTAACATTACCATCACTTGGAGATATCTCCCCTTTATACATATGTATATTTATATATACATATATTTATTATATATAGAGAGAATTGTTTTCTTTCATATGTATGTTTATATATATGTGTGTGCATGCATGTGTATGCATGTGTATGTATGTGTATGTATGTGTATGCATGTGTATGTATGTGTGTGTGTAGATAGATAGACACAGATATATGTTTTTAACATTACCATCACTCGGAGATGTCTCCCCTTCCTCTCTATTCCCAGGGATCCTCTCTCGTAACAGGTACATTCAGACAAGATGAGATATGAAAATGTATGCTTTGTTCCACACCGGTGGTCAGGTACCTCTGGAACGAGAGGTGAGAAGGAAGCTTTATCATCCTTCTGAAGTGAGGGTTGTTTTGGACTAAGATTTCTAAGAAAATGTTGACAACAGCAACAACAATCATAATAATAACATTTACATAGTCCCTATTATGTTCTGGGCATTGTGCTAATGATAATAATGATGATGATAATAATATTTAGTGTTTATGTGTGTATTATGTTTATGTTTTGTGTATCATGTGTGAGGCACTGCTCAAATAATAATGGTAATAATATCTGGAATTTGTATAGCACCTATTATGTGTCAGATGGAGGCAGCTAGGTTGAGCACTAGATGGAATATTGGGCCTGACCTCAAATCTGGCAAGTCACTTCACCCTGTTTGCCTCAGTTTCCTTATTTGTAAAATGAACTGGAGAAGGAAATGACAAACCATTCCAGTGTTTTTGTCAATAGGGTCATGAAGGGTCGACTGAATGACTGATCAAATGTGTCAGGCACTATGTTAATTAATAATAAAATGCCAATAATGATGAGGATAGCTAGTATTTGTATAGAATCTATTATGTTCCAGGCACTATAATAACAACAATAATAATAATTAGCATTTCTGTAGTGCCTACTCTGTGCCAGACACCGCATAGTAGTAGTAGTAGCAATATGTAACATCTAGATCATGCCTACTGTGTGCCAGGCACTGCGCTAATTAATCACATAATAATAGCGGTAGTAGTAGTAGCAGTAGGTAGCATCAATATAGTGCGTACTGTGTGCCGGGCACTGTGCTAAGCACTTTACAGACAGCATCTCCTTGGGTCCTCATGGCAGCGCTGGCGAGCAGAGGCTCTTAGGGTTCAATGGGTCATCCCTGTGACTGTGGTCACCCGTGTGACCTGCCTCAGAGAGGGCAGCGCTAAACATAAATGTCCTTGACTTGCGTCTTCCCAAGCCTCCGTGTAGGTCACTTGTACTTCTAGATTTCAAAGATAACCCTTGATTCTCGAAGTCAGCTCAGTTCAGCAGACTCGGAGAAGACAGAGATGACATTCTTCTGGAGCTCGTCCCTTCTCAGGATGGGGCTGGTTAGGCTCATGGGGAAGGACTGAAGAAGTTTAGGCAGAAGAGAGGACATGGGGCGTGGGTTATCACAGTAACGATTCTCTTCAAGACCTTGAGAAAGGCTGTCGGAGGGGAAGGGCTGGGGCCTGCACTTCTGCTCCTAGAATGTCTCTCCGCCAAAGCTGGATGACCGCTGGTCAGGCACGTTACAGAACGTCAGACTCTGAACTTTAGTGTAGACACAGACTCTGGCATGCCTCCGACCCTGGGCTGATTTATGACCTCGAGGGTCCACTGGAATCCTTTATGTTGATGACATTTTAGCAGAAAAGGATGAATTCCCGGACAGTCCCTTTGGGCTCTAAAATATGAACATCTTGCTCTTCTGTGTTCATTGAGCACGGCTGTCAGCCATCCTCTTCCCAGCCAAGATTCGATTTTGTCGCTGGGTTTACAGGATGAATAAAAGTACCGAAAGGTACCAGAGAGCAACTCCATCGTTCAGAGTGCTTTGCAATTACTGCACCTGCGTATGCAGAGGGCGGCAGCACCGACTGAACAAATCCTTTGGGTCACAAGGGGGCGTAATGGAAGGATATAATTAAAGTTTAATCTGTTCGGTTAAAACCCCCCCAACTTTAATTGCTCTAGGCAATTTGTTGGGCTGTGAATTGGTTGTTTAACTGTATCTAGATCCTAATTTAAGCTACATTTTCGCCCTAATTGTTTAGGCTCTCCCTCGGCCAAATACTGCCCCAGGAAGACCCAGCACTGCCCCAGCAAACACGCAGCCACGGCCAAGTCGTCTGCAGCCTCTCCTCAACCATCCGGCAGCAGGAGTGACGCTCAAGCCAGCATCAGTGTCCAAGTTAAAGCCGTCTGTGACGGAGGTGGAGAGGCGATTTCCTAATGGGGTGAGGCGCTTCTTGGAGGAGTGTTTCCTAATGCTTTGGAAAGCACTGCGGAGTCTTAGAAACCTATGTGAAATGATAAGGTTCATCTAAATTTGGTTTTATTAGTATCAGTCGAGCTCCCCAGGAATGGAAATCCTATCATTTCTGGGTTATTGAAAATTCACCCTTTGAGCTTCAGTCTGATAAGCATTTATGAAGTGCCTGCTGTGTGCCAGTCCCTGAGCGCGGTGCCTCGGGTAGGGCGATGAGACTCATTATGAACATCAGCATAGCTTTTAAAAGATTTTTTCCAGTGCTTTACGTGCAGTACCGCATGCCTTCCTCACAAGAGCCCTGTGGTGTAGGAGCTGTTATTGTCCTCATTTCATAGATGAGCAAAATGAGATTGAGAGAAGGTAAGGGAAAGGTTTTCCCAAGGACAAACACTTAAGTGTCTGAGGCAGGATTCAAACCCAGGTCTTGCTGACTTGCTCCTGTTCTCACGGGGCTTCCAGTATCCATTGGGTGGTGGTTGATGGTGGTGCTTCAACAAACCCACAGATAAAAATAAAAGGCACACAAAATATGTACAAGTTAAGTGGGTGGGCCACTCCCTAAGGGGGAATCCAAGGAATCTCTCGTAGGAGCTCATCTTGAGCTGCGGAAGGAGGGGCCGAGGTTCCCAGAGGGGCTAGTTATGGGGAGCACTGTGCAAAGGAGTGGAGAGTGCAGATACAATGTTGCAGAAGGGGAGTGATAGGCGCTCTAGCTTGCCTGGAGAACAGTGTGTCTGAAGGGTCGGTAATGTGCTGGAAGCTGGAAAGGTGCTTGGGAGCTAGGCTGTGGAATGCGTGAAGTAGGGAATGAGGTATCTGCATTTTACCTTAAAGGAGATAGAGGGGCACTGAATCTTCCTGAGCGTCAGAGTGACATGCTCAGAATTGAGTTTGGGGGATATTAATTGGGTGCCAGTTGTGTGGAAGATGGATTGGAAAAGGCAAAAGCCTGGAAGCAGAGAGACCAATTAGGAAGGTACTGCCATAGTATGAGAGAGAGAGAGAGAGAGAGAGAGAGAGAGAGAGA